GTCTACCCTAGAGCATTTGGGTATTACTAACAGTATTGTAATCCTCTAGCACAGCGGTGGGCAAACTTTTTGGCCCGAAGGCCGCATCGGGGTTGCAAAACTGTATGGAGGGCCGGGTAGGGAAGGCTGTGCCTCCCCAAACAGCCTGGCCCCTACCCCCTCCCACTTCCCGTCCCCTGACTGCCCCATCCCCCCTTGTCCCCTGACTGCTTCCCCGGGACTCCACTGCCATCCAACCCCTCCCCCTTCCCTGTCCCTTATCCAACGCCCCGGCCCCCTTACCATCCCGCTCAGAGCAGTATGTCTGGCAGCCGCGCCGCTCAGCCGGAGCCAGACACGCTGCTGCGCTGCCCTGCAGGAACTCACAACCCTGCCACCCAGAGCGCTGCCTGCGCAGCAGTGTGGCTGCGGGGGAGGGGGGACTGCAGGGGAGGGGCTGGGGACTAGTCTTCCCGGCTGGGAGCTCAAGGGCCTGGCAGGATCGTCCTGCGGGCCATAGTTTGCCCACCTCTTCTCTAGCATGCCTGTAAAACACCTTGCCCTAAACACAACTTCTTGCAACCGTGCACAGGTATTCATACCACTGTTGCAGTTACACTTGCTTTGAAAAAGTCTTGTCATCATTGCTTCCTGCAACAAGTCACAGCCAGTGTGAACAGCAGGTGAGAGCACTGCAGTTCAAGGGTAAAATTAGCACTCGTACGGTAATCTGTCCAGTGCTTCTGTCTACCATTCAGAGACAGTTCTGACAGCTCAGACTGCATTGGCTTTATCCTGTCAGGCTGTTTCCACCTGTTCTGTGCTAGCTGCATGTAGGCCTGAGAGCAGCCACCTGCCCCTGTATTTATTAACAATTCAGCGCTCATCTAAATAGCAATAAAACTTTTATTTTTAAACTGTTAAAAATTTTGTTTAAAACACTCCATTATTATTATTATTAAACATTATTTAACAAGTTTTTAAATGTTTGTTACTTTTTTTGGTAGAGGCTTTGCAATATTTTCAATTGGAATATTTTTAATGTTACATTTTAAAAAAATATTTGTCAAAAGTAAACTTTTAGAATACAGATATTTTTCTTTGCTTTGTTCCCCAACTCTGTGGGGTTTTGTTTCTTTGTTTTTTTAAAGGCAAAGGTAGTGATTGGGATGGTGCTAAAAGATCTGCTTTTAAGGGGTTCTGCAAGTGTAAAATGTATCTCTACTTTGCTGTGAGCTTAGTCAGGCAGCCTCCAGAGAAGCACCTCCTGTTTTCTCTCTGGGTCCCTGACATCCAGAAGAAGGGAGGTTAGTAATATAACAGCAGAAAATACATTGTAATCACCACACTCCCACAAAGAAATCTTTTGTCAGTTAGTAGCTTTCCAGCAGTCATTCATTTCCTCCTCCTGCATGTTGCACAGTACAGCCCCTGAGGGACCCGCTCCCCTAGAAGTGGCATGGAGGACAGGGAGAACTGGCTTTGAGTGCAGGAATTCCCCAGAAGGCCTGCTTGGCTCAAACCATGGCCCTGAAGACGCCTGTCTCTTCATCTAGGGAGCACGCATAGGAGGAAGAAACAGCATAATTTGAAAACAACAAATGTGAAAAACACAAATGAGAGATACAAATAAGGAAGCTACCTAGTATAGCAGAGCTGTTGCTAACACACTAACTACAAATCTTGCATGAGAAATTCTGTCAACACTTAACTTTTTTGTTTGTTTTGTGTGAGGAGTGACTAGTCTGTTCCGCTATGGAGGGCGGGAGTAAAAGCAGCTCTCTGAGGGGGGAGAGTTCTGAACATTGTGGTATATTAAAGCACTTTTGTAATGGATCTTAAAGCTTTTTCTTACATGAAAACTTTCCAAAGAGCTTCATAATTTTGTAAAACCTAAAATTTGTCTTTTCAACCTGAAGTCCAATAAAAAGTGTGTCAGGAGAACACAATTAACACAGTTTACTGTGAAATCAGGTGGTTCAAGTGAGTTCTGCTTCCCCAACTTGCAAATTGTTAAATTTAATCTAATAAGCATTATGTAGATCTGTTGATAAGTGACTTGCCTCCATACTTAATCTATAGCTTTTGTCTGTGCAAGACCAAAGTGCATTGCTGCCATTATTATTATTATTATTAATTTGAATTACAGTAGCACCCAGAAACCCCAACCAGATTAGTGGACCATTGTTCATATATCACTCTATAAACATACAGTAGAAAAGTCCCTATACCCAAGAATGCTCTCGCCTCCATTTTTCGTATCTGGCCTTTGATTTCAGCAGGGGGAATTCCTTGGGGCAACAGAAGTGCCTTTTCTTCGTCCTATGAAATTCCATTCAGATTTGGCAGGGCTAGTGTTAAAAATCATTTCAATGCAGAGGGAGGCACCCCCAGACCCATCCTCCCACTCTGGGAAAGTACAGTAGAACCTCAGTTACAGACACCTTGGGAATGGAGGTTGTCCGTAACTCTGAAATGTTCCTTGCGTGGTGTCAAGTGTCAGGGGGTAGCCGTGTTAGTCTGTATCCACAAAAACAACAAGGTGCCACCGGATTCCTTGTTGTTTCTGAAACATTCGTAACTCTGAACAAAGCACAGTTCAGGCTCCCGCAGCTGACACTCCAGGCTAGACTCCCCCAGCAGCTGAGTTCCCTCCTCATCACAGGCAGCTTCCAATAGTGTGTCCCCTTCCCAACTGGGGAAGGGTGTGTGTGAAAACCGTGCCGCCCCCTCCTGGTGGGGGGGGAAGGGTGAAAGCGGCACAGACCCCAGCATTGCTCCTGCTCTGGCTGTCTTAGGCTGGCAGCCCCAGCGTCTTCACCTTTTAGCTGCAAGTGGAAGCCCTGCATGAGGGAGGGGGTGGGGACAGGCAGCCCAGTTGTGCCTACCTTTAAGATGCAATACAGGCACTGTACAGAACAGTATTTGCTTTTTTGGTCTCTGCTGCTGCCTGATTGGTTACTTCTGGTTTCACATGGTGTCCGATTGGCTGGTCAGTCCATAACTCTGGTGCTCATATCTTTGAGGTTCAACTGTAGCCTTGTCCTGCTGACAGCTAAAGGAGTCAGTCCTTAGCAAAGACTGTTACTATGTGAGCTATGGTGCTAAAGAGTTCCAGTTCAGACTCTGCTGGTGATTCATAGGGACAGAGGGATGTTACACTTGTACATAATAGTTGTTTTACCTTTTCTTTAAAAATAATTATAATAAAAACAACGAGATTACACACAGATAAACTTCTTATTGAAAAAGGTTATTGAGGTTCCAAAGTCAAGCACTTGAAAGTTAGGAAATGCCAGATTTGATTGCCACACAACCTCAGTTTGGCCTCCTTATGTGTATGCATAATGACAGTCTTTAATTCCATCATCACAGTCTATTAGAGAATTGCTCTGAGAGCAATAAAATGAAATTCAATAAAGACAAGTACAAAGTACTTCACTTGGGAAGGAGAAATCAAATGCACAACCACAAAATTGGGAAGAAGTCAGTAGGCAGGAATACTGCTGAAAAGGACCTGGGCGTTATAGTTCGATGTGAGTCAAAAGTATGATGCAGTTGCAAAAAAGGCTAATACCATCCTGGGATGTACTAACAGGATCATTGTATGGGAAACACGGGAAGTAATTGTCCTGCTCTGCTTAGCACTGGTGAGGCCTCAACCAGAGTACTGTGCCCAGTTCTGGGCACCACACTCTTAGGAGAGATGAGGACAAATTGGAGAGTCCAGAGAAGAGAGCAGAAATGATAAAAGATTTAGAAAACTTGACCTATGAGGAAAAGTTTAAAAAAAAACCTGAGCATGTTTAGTCTTGAGATAAGAAGACCGAATGAGGACCTGATAATAGGTCTTCATATGTGTTAAGGGCTGTTACAGGGGCATACGCAAGAATTTAAATTTGACACCTTAAACTTGTTGCCCCTGTTCCCCTCCCAGCCCTGGGAGGAGCTCACTGTCTCCTCTCCTGACCCGTCCCAGGAGGAACTCAATCTTCCCTCTCTCCCTCCACCTGGCCCCAGCCCGATCTTCCCTCCCTTCACATGGCCCTGGCCCTGGCAGGAGCTTGATCTTCCCTGCCTCTGCAGCCCCAGGGCCAGAGAAGTTCTGTGTCCCTGACAATTATTGGGGTAGCCCATGCCCCTGCTTGCCTCCACTGCCGCCCGTGGGCTGTTCTAAAGAGGAGGATGGTGAATTGTTCTCCATGTTCACTGCAGGTAGGACAAGAAGTAATGGGGTTAAATTGCAGCAAGGGAGATTTAGATTAGCTATTAGGAAAAACTTTATAACTATACAGATAGTTAAGCTGTACGCTTTCAAAGGAGTTTGTGGAATCCCCATCACTGAAGGTTTCTAAGAACGGGCTGGACAAACACCTGTCAGAGACGGTCTAGGTTTACTTGGTCCTGCCTCAGTGTAGAGGGCTCGGCTTGATGACCTCTTGAGGTCCCTTCCAGCCCCTAATTTCTAAGATGCTATTTTTCCATAGGACCCCTGCCTCATTCAGAGCATGGGATGGATACACAAGGAGGCAGAATTAAAGGCACATGGGCAACTGTAAATCTAACTTTCAAGCACTTGATTTTGAAATTTAAGTAACTTTTTTTTAACATAGATGTTTGTGTGTCAAAATATTTACCCATCCACCCTTGACAATTCCTCTTCCTGCTTAGTTGAAACAAACCTTTTGTTCTTGCACAAAGTGCTTAGGTACCAACACTCAAATATGGAAAAGGCGTCAATTAGAGAGAACATATTTTTATGTCTAAACCAAGGAAATTTGATATATAAGTTTGAGAAACAATAATCATGGACTCCCATTATTTCATTTTTGAGCCATTATACAGACTTTAGGTAGATGTGAAGAGGAATGATACTTCCCTACTTAAATATTTCTTTTCTAATAGAGTTGTTACACTGACTAACCTATTTAAAAACATTTACAGGGGAAAATGTAAACAGTGATTATTTTTTTTATAGCCACACAAATGGAATCTTAGCAGTCTTCTTTCTTGTCAAACAGAAGTCAAAGAACAATCTGCAGAGGAGGATGCCCAAACTGAAGTGGACAGCAACAAGCAGCTAACACCAGTTCTTCAGCGCTCAGTATCTGAGGAGTCTGCAAGCTCCACTGCCTCTGTTGGTGTTGAAGCCAAAACCAGGTTAGTAAGTGAGACAGATGGGTGCTGAGTCAGTGATGGGGGAAGGGCTGAGAGTTGAGTAATGGTTCAGAGAATGCTGGGAGAACAGACTTGGGACAGTGCTGGTGCTTTGAAGCATTAGCAGAAACCTTGTTGGCAGCTGCTATATTTGAGACTGATGATTTAATTAGTCTGCAGGGAACTGCGGGTGGAAAAGCATGTTTCTTAAGTGTCATCCTCCGTCATCACACAATACAGGAAAACTTCAGAATTGCTAAATATTAACTATTTAAATGTAAACGTTTGAGGGTTTGTGTACAAGCGGATACACTACAGCCACTAGTAAAGCCTTTCTGGTGAGAAATAAAACGTGTGCTATATATAACAATGGTCTAACATAACAGTACTTCCAAGGTTTTAGAGGATATTTTCTACATTTTTAGTAAGCTGGGTTTTTTAAATTTTATCTCGTATGCCATAAACCTACTTACTTTTCAGAGTCTCTAACATGCAAATAAATGTTAACTGTATTTTACTTTTTTCCTAAATTTTGGATATCTATAAATTACTAGTGCCAATAAAAGTAACAGTCATATGACACTAGCAAGAACAAGGCCTATCATGGGCAGGCACCACTGGAACAATGTCATGGAACTCTGGCAATACTCCTCTAGCCAAGCCTTCAACGCAGCTAGATAGCCCAATAATGGGCCTCTGTTTGTTGCAGCGGTTGTCATATCAGTTTAAGGAGACATTATGATATGGATGTATGTTTTTGACAGACTTGGATTAAAAATAACCAAAACCATTTCACTTCCACCTCGTCAGAGTTTGCACCTGTGCCCCCAGCTACAAAAGGCTAGTGCCTTAACTGACTAACTCACCTACCTTTACAGATTTTACATGGTCACAAACTTCTGTTAGAAGGGAAATATCTGTGGAAGCTACTCTGATGTATCAATAAAACTGGTGTGTGTGTGTGTGTGTGTAGATTGTTATACCCTTGCTCAAGAAACCATCTCATGATACTGATAGGGCAGTAGCTAGAGAGTTTTTCTCAGATCTTTTTAGGGAAAAAAAATTATTGAGAAGGTGCTTGCAAGGCAAGTATCTGGAGTTTGCAGGTTTCCTTGATCCCAGACAGTTTGGTTTTAGGCCTGGATGTAGAATGGACATTGCATTTACGGCAATGTTGGGTGGTCTCCTCCTGGCAATGGACAAAAATCAAATGTCCATTTATTTTTATTTCTTAATCTAATCCTGCACCTATCTAAAACCAATGCACATCTAAAGAATAACTGCTGTTTTTTTAATCTGTCTTCTATATCATTGTCCATGAGTGGTGGTGACACATCTTCTTGGCGGGGTGGAGGGAATAGCTTTTGAGTGGCTCTACTCCTTTTTGTTAGAACGAACTCCAGATAGATGAAGCAGAATACAGTAAAGATTGACCCTCAATTCTGTAGTGTCCAGGCATGGAAAGAGAGAAAAAATGCCAAGATTTAGGGAGAAGGGGAATATAAGGTCAGAGGGGTTAGGGTGTATTGTGAATTCATGGAAACTTGAAAACTAGGAGGGTAGTTTTGACGTTTCTTCCAGATTATTTTGTTTACCGTAGGAAACTTTTGTACCCCTCCTAAAGCTTAGAAATTTGAGGTTTTAGGGAAACCATGGAAGAAAGTATTGCAACAGAGAAGGCAGAAATTGATCAGAGTGTGAAAAAGTAGCAGTGAGGGCAATGTCAAAGTAATGCCAAAACATTGGCATTGTTCTGCAAGTGAGAGATACGCTTACTGACAAGGGTAAAGTGAGAGTAGACAAAGTCTGGGGTAATGGATGCCTTCAGGATTTCTGACTTTGTGAGTAAAGTTTAAGGCTGGATTTCAGGAGGAGGTGAGAGTAGTGTAAGACATATGTGACAAGGCACTTCACCCAAACAAATGACTTTGGTTTTTGAAGCATTTAGGAGAAAAGAAGTTACAGTGTAGTTAGGGAGTATCAGTATTACTTTTATGCAGCAGATATCCAAAGCTTTTTTTCTTGTACTTCTCTCTGATCTCTCCTAACTTTGAGGCTAACTCGGACATCTCTGAGGGTGATGCTGGAGAATAGAGCCAACGTTGTAACCTTAATGGAACTACCCAGCAGAAAGTGCGTGTTTGTTTGTATGTGCGTGCGCATGTGAGTCCAGGAGAGAGTGAATTACTAGTTGTGACTAAGAAATAGAGACAGGAGTGGTAACAGTGTTAAGTTTAAAACTCAGAAAGTAGAGTGCTGGAGACACCAAAATAAAAAATAGCATCAGAAGTCATGCTGAGCTGAAGTAGGCTGGAGAGATAGAGGCATCTGTGCTCAGAAATGAGTGGATTATTGATCTCTTGTAGGGAGGGGCAGGCAGTAAGATCAAGAAGAGATGGAGTCATGGCAGTGACAAAAGCAGTGCTGCCAACTTTCTCAATATTTGTTTGTCTCATGATTATTAAGCTTGCAGTATTAGCAATACTCAGGGCTGGATTAATCTTTTGTGGGCCCCGGCACCTGGATTGTGGCCCCATACCCCACTCCACCTGCACTCCACACCTCCACACCCTCTCATGGGAGGGCAGGAGACGGAGAGGAGCTAGGAGTGGGGAGGGGGCTGAGAGGAGCAAGCGGCAGGCAGGACCTTTGTGGGGGAAGAGGCTGAGCGGGGGTGGGGCCTCAAGGCAGAGCATGGGGCGGGGGGGGGGGGAGCGGGGAGTAGGGCCAAGCTCGGGGGCTGAAGTGGTAATTGTCATGGAGGTCTCTGAAAGTCACAGAATCCATGACCTCCATGATCTGATCTTCTCCTTAGTTATGATACAGTCTTTAATTACATGATCAATGTGTGGGTCTAAGCCTTATTTACTGCACACTATTCAAATCCTGTTCTGAAGACGGAATTATTAATTTCCTCATGGGCTTTTCTGTGGTGCACACTACTGTAGTCTGAGTTCTTCACAAATATTGAATAATAAATTTATATTCACTACATCTATGTGAAATGAGGGGTTAATGTTATTAACTCCATTTTACAGACCGCAGACTAGGCCCAAAGCGATTAAGGTCAAAAATATCCACTAATATTAGGTGCCCAATTTGAGATGACTAGGACCTGATTTTCTGGAGTACTTAACATTATATAGCACTTTTTATGTGTAAAGCACAGCTCCCATTGACTTAGATGTAGCTGTGAGTGCTCAGCACTTCTGCAAATTAGATCCCAGGTTCTGAAATTGTGCACCAAGAAAATGAGAAACACAGAATTAGTGGTCACCTGCGAACATTTTGGCTTAAGTGAGTTGACTAACCTCACACAGGAACTCTGTGGTAGAGGAGGCAATAGACTCCAGTTACATAGGGCAGCGTTCAGCTGCCATAACCATTAGACCTTCCTTTCTCTCCCTGCAGCCCTGTCTCATTCACTGCACACCTTCCAACTTCTGTAATGAATGAGGCGGGTATCGTAAGGTAACAGCTGCCTTTAGTACGCAACCATGATTCCTCCCCTGAACAGGTCCGTATTGGGCACTGAATGAGGCCTGAGGCCTGTGGAAAAATTAGTGTATGATCATGTAACTAAAGACTGTACCATCATAGTATATCTACAGGGTGCTAAGTAATAGTTGCTCAGGCAATTTTAATTCTGGCATTTCCTAACTTTTGAGTTCTTGACTTTGCAACCTAACAAACCTTCTTTTAACTTGGTTTTTGTGTGTGTAATTTCCTAGAATTTAAAGAACAACTAGAAAGAACACAAATTACC